AGAGTTTATATGTATATATGATATTAATATCATTAAAGTTATTTAAATAATTATAGTTTTGTATTTAGTTTGCTATGACAGCATTAATTTAGCTTTTCTATGCAATATGTATACTGCTTTTATGTTTATGGTTGACAGATTATTAATATCATCTAACATTTAATGAATCCAAGGAAAGAGCTTTAGAGTTTCATCCTGACTGAGTATAGTCATTGATGCCCAAAGAAACTTTCTTTCCATCAAAACTATTCATGCTTAGAAACTGAGGAGTAAATCAAAATTTGGAAATCCTTGCAATTCTTCATATTTCTACTGTAACTATTGTATTTTGGTTTCCATATGTGGATACTTTGACAACATCGTGCTCTCAAAAAATTTTTCCTAGATTTAAAAATTTATCAACTGTGATACTTGTATTTTAACCCCTCAGGAATTATTTTCAAAAGTTCTCAGATAAAACCCATGGACACAAACAATCCCAGTTAAACTCAATGGTCCTCAAAATAAAGCAGAAAAGACTCTTATGTGAGGGGACTTCTGGCTAGGCAGAAGAGGAATGAAAGCGCTGGCATGTTACAATAATCATAATGAAATTATCAAAGGAACAACTGAATAGTTATTAAAGCACTGAAAATTTTAAATAATCAAATTTGCATTAATTATAAATACCTCTTCCAAACGAACACTGTAAGTTACATCTAAAATAATTTATACAACACTTGATATTTCTTTCTTTCCAAATAATTTGGTTTGTCATTTATGCAATAGATCTATTCATTTTTATATATAATTTCTAAATTACTTGTGCTATCACTTGGTACCAATGTTTGCACTTGGAATAAACATTCTTTCATAACATCATCAACTTTTACTATAGTCTCTGCCAAATGTAGAGAATTTTCATTATCACCCTCAGAAACTTTCCTAGAACATTCTCTGAACACATTTGTCTTGCCAAAACAAAACAGGTACACTGCATGTTTAGCAGTGTGGTATCTCTTCCTTTAACTCTGTTCTTAAGCATATAACTTTATTTCTTCAAATTAGATGTTTTTGAGACAATATCCCACTGTGCAGTGCAGGCTGGAAATCATGGTGAGCCTTCTTGCCATTCAGCATCCCGAGGGCTGGGATTAGAGGTACATGTTACCATGCCTGGTCTTAAGTTAGGTTTTAATTTAAAATACCTAACATCGTGCTCTTTGTGAATTTCACCTCATTCATGTTGAGTCACTGCCCATAGTTAGCGCTTGGCCATTCTCAAGTAGTTGTTCATTTTTAGAATCTTTTTAAACATTCATATTGAATACAAAATCTTTTGTCTTAAGTAACCAGAAGATTTATTTTTATTTGAAAAACTAAGACTATAATGAATATTCTAAACCTTCTTTCTGTGTTTTTGTAATGGAAACTTTCTTTAGTAAGAGATGCATTTTTCACTAAGAAGGGAACATGTAAAACTGTTTCCACATTCTGGGACTGTAGCAGATTGAATTTAGTTTAGTGCATTCTCCAGGATTTTTTTTTCCTCTTAATTTTCGTAGAAGTCAATGCTCATTAGCTTGGAGGGATAATTTCACATCCCCTTCCAGCCATGAACACTTGATTAAACAATGCATCTGAATCCCCACTCTTACCTATGTTGGTTCACTCAACAGTATTAGCTCACTCAAAGTACTATCAGTATCACTCAAAGTATTATCAAAATACTTTCAGTAAGACAAATAATATTTTTGTTTATAAAGTTTTTAATTTTTTTTTTCTTCACTCAGCAGTCTTTACTAAAAAGTAAACTTGCGCCACTGAATTCTGACAATTATCTGCATTTTCAGAGAAATAACAAACAAGTTATGTTATAGCATAATACACAAACAGGAATCATTTACACAATAATTTCTGCATAGACCAGATTTTTCACACAAAAAATGACTAATTATTTGACATAATGTGAATGAATATGTATGCATACAATTTAGAAATGTGTTAATATTTACCTTTTGACCATTATAGTTAATAATAATACTGATGTTATGATTTGTACCAAACTGAAAGCATTGTTTATTGAAATAATGAGCTCATCATTTACAATATAGTAAACAACAAATACATAATGTGAACTGTGAGAAAATATAATAAATATAGCTGCTTCAATAAAGTCCAAGTGAAGTTTTTATGAGTATATACATACATGTGTACATACATACAGCAGTAGTTAGAGAGGTAGGAGCAATTGGCTGAATTATGAATAAGAAAATCACTCTATATTGATAACTGAATACATCAGTATAAAGCTCCAGTACTTGTTCAGAAGCTGAGATGATCTTTATTTTATTAAACTTTAACTTTTAAAAATGTTGTTTTTGTTATTTCTATGTGTGTGTGTGTGGGTGTGTGAATCTAACATGGGTGCTAAGAACTGAATTCCAGTCCTCTGAAAGAACAGAACATTCTCTTAACAGCTGAGCCATTTCTCGCACCCCTATTTTGTTAAACTTATTCTTTTGCTGTGAACCCAAGTGGAATGGTATGAATATTGGTTCTACTCTAATGAAAGTGTTCCATCTACTGAGACTTAGTAATAATGGACGTGGAAGTCACACAAATTTAGATTAAAGAGTTACAGTAAAATACAAAGATAAAGTGGTTCAATAAGCAGCCCTAATGAAACTCATTAGGTCACAAAAATAAAGAAGACACAAAAGTGGAAGGGGCTAGCTGGGCAGAGGAAGGGGATTAGTGAAGTGAGTGGGGAAAAAGGTAGGCCAATGCGGGTGAATATGGTCAATAAATATTATGTTACATGTATGAGAATATAATTAAACACATCAGAGAAAATCAATATACACTAGTAAGAGACTTTTTTTAAATCCAAAATGAATAAAGTGCTTTTAGAATTATTATGCTAAATGTGAGCAAACAAAGTTGTACCACATTTTGGGTGAAACAACTTCACTTGTACTGCAGAGTAATCTGAAATGAGTCATGGGATACCGTACTGACAGATAAATCTCATGTCTAATCATCATGTTCCATCTGTTTCTTAAATTTTGATATCTCCTATACTCCTGCATGAATAATTCATTCTGAGATAAGTGTATCTTTACAATTTTCTATTAACTCAGCTCTCTCTGGATTCTTCTCAGTCGTTAGTATGATGAGATTTTTAGCATTCAGCAGAATGTCTAGAGCTACAGGAACAGAGGTGCCCACAATTTAGCCTTGACTGTCTCAGATATACGGCCCTTGATAATGAAACCATCGAAAGAAACCTCTCTCCTCTTTCTCTCTCCCTCTCTCACCTTTCGCTCTGGTTTTGTTCGCTTGTTTGTTTGTTTTGTTTTGTTTTTGTGCTATCATGACACATTACACACACACACACACAAAAAAAAAAATAATTCTTAAACACAAGGAAAACATGGAGTTAGTTACATTTCCAAGTGAGGCTAGAAAAACCAAACTGCCAAAGCAGTAGAATGCATAACCTTCGTATCTAGTAACCAACCAACATCAATGCAGAGTTCGGAGACTTTGCTGGGATTTCTAGTTCCTCATTATTCTAAAGAATAGGGTGATATTCCAAAACAGTTCACATTTGCAACTCAGATTTTAATATCTAAACTCCATTTAAATTGTATTATCTATAAAATAGTCTTTTAAAACAGAAAAATTCAAGCTTTTCGATAGAATTTAAGTCAAATGAAAGGTAACCACAATTTAAGTGAGTCAGGAATGATTGGACTGTTCCGAGCTGAAGAAGGCTACTATTCTTCCACTTGTACAAATAATTATTTGAAACCATTTTGTGGTTATGTGTTTTACTAATATGCTTTTTATTTTAGACAGTTAAAATTCATGATTTATAAAGATTCTAGTCAAAGTAGAAACAACACTGAGTTATTTTTAAAATCACATTGTAAATCACTTAAAGTTAATAAAAAATTTCATAGTCCTATATGTTATATCTTTTTCTTTGGATTTGTTTTGTTGTGACTGTTATTGTTTCTATAAGTGATCTTTATTTCAATTTGTTTCACACAGTTCCAGTTTCATTGTTCACCCCTCATAGTTATAAAAGCTGTCAGTGTTAATAGCATGAATTTTATAAATTGAGATTAATCCTATAGACAAGATCATTGAAAGTAAATATTACATAAACTGCTTTAGAAACTCCATAGGCACTCAATCTACAGATAGACCCAACTCAAATATGTTCTCTGAAGTTGTAATCCTACTTTATGTATTCCTTGAAAAATTGTTAATACTATCTTCTGTTTTAGTTCAGTTTGTTAAAATACTATATTGTCAGTTTTTTTCTTGTGAAGAATTTATTTGCAGATGCTGATGCCAAATTACCGCATACAATGTATTCTATGAATATAGAATGGCTATGTTTGCCTTCCATTGGAGTAGATCCTAAAACAATTTGTATTGCTTTGTTCCATACACGATGTTGGTGGAGGTCATGAAGTACCTGTCTGTTTAAAATGTTTGAGGATGTACGCATGAAGCTGCTGATGAGCTGCCCACAAATGACCATTTCTTGCCTTTATAATACTTCATCTTTATATTCATCCAAGTGTTTGACACATACCATCAGATTTAGACTGTATTGCTATGAAACAGAGGCCAGGTATTCTAACCTGACTTTTTAATATCTCCTCTATATTTGGGACTATGCTTGAGTGCATTACAGTTCAACAGCTGACAATGGGCATACACAACCCTTTGTGCCAGACAAGACTATTTTGGAAGTTCTAATTAGAAAATACAGCTTCAGTTGACATCTTATTTTACGGTAGTATGCAGATGTTTTGCAACCATATAGAAACTGATACAAAATTTTAACATCACCTGAATATTGACAAAAATGAGATTAGGAATAATCACTTAAAATTCTATTTACTATTTAAATTTGAAAAATTTGGAAGTCATGATTCTTTACAACCATTTTTCCTTTTAGCTTAACTTTCACAATTATTTATTTTTGTTTTCTTTTTCAGTAAATGTACCCAAGAAGAGTTCTGAGAGGAGACATTCAGCTGTCCTGCTGTGATTAAGCAAGACACTGCCATATTTTGTAAGTTTATCTATTTATATTTTGAATAAAAAAGACTTTCTGGCACAGAAACCACTTTTCTCACTTGGAATTAGAGTTCAGTTTTTTAAATTAGAGTCTTAATTGGTTTTATTTCTTCCAAGCTTTGTTTTACCTCAGTACTATTCAATTTTGGCAAATAGCAGAAGAGTATTTCTTTGTTAGATTAACTCTGGTTCTTTGTGTTTATCAGCCAATATTTTAATGACTTGTGATAAGAGTTTATCAGCTGGTGAGGTAGTTTGAAACGGTGCTGTCAGGAATATTGATTTGTCCTGGGCAATTTATTCATAATTATAATGTCCTTTGTTTCAGTGAACAAATAGGTTTTTATTTGTAGAAACTGCCCTTTGAGACCTTATTAAGGTAGTTAAATACTGACTATCATAAGCAAACAGAGTGATTTTTATCTTGTTCCTAATGTTTAGATTGTACATTCATGTTTTGTAATATTCATCACGTTGGGGTACCACTACGTGAATTTGATGGCTTAGATGCCAGCCCTCATTTATTCCACATGATACAGTGCAAACAATATTATTGTGTGGAGAGTAACGAGTGACATTGAACTGAGGGATTCTGGAATATTCAAATTTATAACCCTTCTGATTATCTCAAAGTTGAGATTTGGCTATTTCATAGTTTCTAGAACACAGTATAAAGCAAATAGTTTTTTCCCCTTTTTATAAGATGTTTTCTGACATGATTAAAAAGCCCCTTTGCTCCTACTTAGTTTTCTGTGACAGACTCAGTAAATGGAGAGAATGTAGTGCATGTCATTTATTTTGACATTTGCAATACTTTTTGGCTTTTGATTCATTCATACTATCTCCACTTAGCAAGAGAAAAATTATGCTCTATTGCCTCATAATAAAAATTGGGGGATGCACTGTATGATAAGAAGCTTGTTAAGTTCTCAATTCCATAGACAATTGTTCTTCCCTAAGGAGTTTTACACCTCAGTATCTTCAACCAGCTAGTGATGAGGATGGAGAATTAGAGAACATACTTAAAAGTCAGAATATAGTATAGAAACCTATGTAATCATCTAGAGGTTATATATTACTTCAAAATATATTAAAATTAGTGAGCAATCACATACAAAATGAAAAGAAAATCTTATAAAGTTAAAGATTTTAAAAAATATATACTTGCTTTATATTTAAATTATAGCCCAGTATTTCTATGTTTTCAAATACTGTCAATTTAAATTACTGTTTTTCTTTAAAAGAACCATAAAAATTTCCCTTAAAA